TTATGGTACTTATAACTCCCTAAAATAACCAGTTACTAACTCCCCCGACCCTCCAAGTTCTGTCTAGGGAATCACAGGACTATTTGGCCTGAATCCGGCTTCCAACTTTATGGGGTTTACTGCACCTATATAGTCTACAGTCATTGATGCGGAGTGTGGTTCGTTTGCGCGGTTCATAAGGTCACCAAAAAGAAAGCACAGCACATGGGAGTCTATATTGTATACCCACAGAGCCCAATACCTCTTAAGTCAGGAGTATAGCTTCGACCATACGGGGCTCGAAATCATGGTCTAACGTTTAACTCCCTCCTAGCTAAGCGGTATTGGACTGACGCCCACAAACCTAAACCCAAATCCCAAACCCTAAACCCCAACCCCAAACCCCAAAACCCAAACCCCTGTGGTACATAACTAGTCGTCGGCTGCAACCTCTCAGTCAAAGCACTTCTGGACCCCGGGACCTCGGCTGGCTTGCCCGAGTTGCGAGAGTGTAAAACTCTAAACCCTAAACCCCCGAACCCGAAAACTCTACACCTTACACCCTGACTGGCAGCCCGGGAGTGGCAATGCTGAAGCCAAAAAGCTGAAAGATTCAGACTTGGTTGGTTTGTCCTGCAGAAACGCTTCTTAATCGGTAGCACGTGTATTGCGTTTTGTCAGGGGGACTAATTGCATTCGTAACGGGGCTTCGTAGCTTGACTATCAATGGTTTCATCGTTATGGATTTTGTGAGTCTAGGGAGGCGACCACTTCCTGCCAAGGCGACAGGAAAACTTGTCCCAAGGGCCACCTTAGACTACCATAACCTACTGTTCTGTAGGTTCTTATTATCAACGCTAGTAAAGAACTTAGGGGGACCGTACAAAAAGCGATGGGTTATCATTATAATTCCGCACCCAGACCTTGTCGAGGCCCTACCAAAGAAGGGTAGGTTTGGGCTAGTTCAAGGGGGGCCGAACGCCCGACTCCGACACGTACACAGACCGTGTATAAACCTTGTTCGAACAGTACAGGGGCTTGAAGAGCTGCGAATTGCTAGTTACTGGTTCTTTTCGTACCTACTTCCCAAAGCCCTACTGTGGGTGATGATAATCCTGCATTACCTTAAGGACCCTAAACTATGGTAATTATTGTATATTCCTTATTAATGGGTAATGCAGGATTCATATCATCAACCGTATTCTACTCATCAGGTCCCTTGGTTCGACGTCAGCCAAACCCCAAAACCGGCAGGCAGAACGGCATCGAGCTGGCACCGGATGAGGAGATGATCAAGGACACGAGCTACAGGGTGTAGAAACTCTCTCCAACATGAGTATGCCCCCAAAGCCCTAAACCCCAAACTCTCAAACCCTAAACCCCAAACTCTAAAACCCTAAACTCCAAACTCTCAAACCCTAAACCCCAAACTCTAAAACCCTAAGCTGTTGAAACTTCAGGCTTCAGGGTTCCCTAAACCCCAAACTCTAAACCCTAAGCAACTTCAGGGTTCATGTTGTAAAAGGGCTCAGGATCGGAACCCAGAGCCGCCAAACTGGATTTCGAAGGCACAATTCGAAAGGGCCGCCGCCTGTGGATCATCCGAGGGGGCCTCCGCAGGGGATTTAGGGCATTAGGGTTTAGGGTTTAGGGTTTGGGGGATTTGGATGACTGCAAACTGAAGTCAACTTGCAAGCGACAGTGCTGCCAGTGCTCCGTGATTTGATGGACATGCCTGTCATGGTTTGCCGTGCATCTGCCCATGCAGGACAAATGGCAGGAGAAGTACAAACTCAGGAAGCTGACGGAGCAAGGTGCTTTGCCAACCAGCAAAGCAGCATTCAACGCCCCACGCCAAGAAGTTGGCGGTTTGGGCTGTGGTTCAGGGTCAAGTGCCTGAATTTTGGGTTGAGGGCATTCCCTGACAGCTCAGTAGCTGAATGAGTACACTTTACACTTGTTCGGATACTATAACCTCTATAGAACTGAAAGTTTGAACTTGTTGGTGCCGGCGAACTCAGCAGCTAAGTCATGAGTGCAGGTATTCTCCAGGAGCCGCATGCCCCGAATCCATGCAATACATCTCTCATCTAGGTTTACAGTTAAGGGCCTAGGGTTTGAAGAATAACCGAAGCATCGCGAACGGTGAAGCCTTGCTCGTTCTGGTGTGGGAAGCCGTCGGAGGGCTACGGAACAGGCAAAACCTCGAGACGACTACGGCACTTGCAGTAGCCTCTGAGCAGCCGTTCCTGTACTCTATAGTAGAAGCCAGAAAGTTGGAACATGGCTTTAGGAGGATTGGTGCTAGGATCCCTTATACTTTACCTTAAGGGCATGGGGGTAATGATGTTCCAACTTTCTGGCTTCTACTATAAACTTTAAACTGTAGCCCTAAACTCCAAACCGTTCATGCATGGGGTACCAGCAGCCCAAGGCTGTTCTCTTTCTGTATCGGGTGCTGCGTGCGCGGCACCCTGGACCCTATAGCCTGAAAAAGCAACAGCGGACCAACAATGCCGAAGGTAATGCCCAAACCCGTGTTCCCAGCGATCCCAATAGCTTTACAACAAGAGTGCTCCTTGCATCATCGAGGGAGCCTTGACACACGACATGGGGTATGTGGATTCATCAAGGTGGGGTGGTCCAGCCCAAACCCCAAACCCCAAACCCAGAGCCCTAAGCCCTAGGCCCTAGACCCTGAACATCCTTGAGCCCCAAACCCTAAACTACTTGGAAGGGCAGGGGACTTAGTAAGTAGGTTATAAGTAGAGTTATAAGTACCCTAAATGGAGTTACCCCAATTATAACCCTACTTATAACCTACTTACTAAGTCCCCTGCCCTTCCAAGTAGGCCTTCTTACAAGAAGGCGTAGGGCTATATCAAATCCCACGAAGATCTTTCTCAAAAAATGGTTAGAAAAGAGGCCAAGCAGCTTGCCAAGTTCCAGATCGGGGCGCCTCCGGCTGACATGAAGTTCAGCCAGTTCCTTCTGAACGACAGGCACGTTTTGGGGATTTTGGGGTTTAGGGATTGAGGGGTCCAGAGTTCTTCAGGGACTTCCTGGGCTCTTTGTACGTAGGGCTTTCGGGCTCATAGCCCCCAGACGCTGACAGCATGTTGAGCTCCAGGGCAGAACGCCACGTCTCGTGGTAAGTCATTTATGCATCCGAGCACTGACAGTGTGTTTTCAGGAATGTGCAGCCCTAGACTCAGACCGACACCCCAAGCCGGCTTAACCGAGCTCGAAACCCCTTATCACTACAGCCAGGCTCTTCAGTGGTTCACTTTTTTACTTTCAGGTTTCTGGGTTCCTATTATAAAACAAGAAGCCTAAAAAAGTATATACTTTTTCCCAGTGGGTTACTGAACAGCCTTGACAGCATCCGAAGCTGCAGCCCCCATGAATTCAGAAACCGGCATCCAGAGGGGGCATGAGTTCAGATTCGCCTTACGGTAAAATGTTATGACACGTATTGTTTTGACCCTCAACTAGGGACGAATATACCTCGAATCATAGTGTTAAGTCCCTTGTGTGTTCAAGTGCATGCCTTCATGAAGGGGTATTGTCCTTGCTTTTACATGCGCTGCCCAAGACCCTGCAGAGCCTTCCCGCTTGAAACAGGCCAAGCCCTACACCTTAAATGACTGTTCGGAAGAGGGCTTTCGACACCCCCAACCCCAAACCCTACCCAAAACCCTTAGACCCTAAACCCTGGAATTTAAAGGATAGGGTTTAGGGCTTCAGGTTTAGGGTTTCAGGACGCGCCCTGAAGCCCCGGGCCTGATTACCAGAATCCGGAACTCAGAGAGCCCACCTCAGTGAAGGACTACTTAAAGGATCATGGGACTTAGTAACTCGGGTTATAATTAGGGTAACTATACTTATAGCTACTTATAAGCCCAATTAAGGTACTTATAACCTTACTTAATAAGTCCCATGATCCTCCAAGTATACACGAACATAGAAGGGACTTGACATTTGGGGTTGGATTGGGGGCTTCGGGGTTCAGGGAGGATGTGAGGTTGATCATTTTCTAATCAAGGGGTATGCGGCTGCGGCAGGAAAGTCCTGCGATTCAAAGCTTTCTGGGATGACACCACTCCGCTCCTCGGCCCTTGCCAAGTAGGCTTTGGGGTCTAGGGTTCTTCAGATTTCGGAGCTTCTCTGCACAAGAGAACAGGACGCACACCACGCTAGTGTCGCTAGGTTGTGACCGGGGCCAAGTGGGTTACTGATGCCGTTCCCAATGAGGATGATGGGTGCCGATGGTGTGGAGGACATGAAGACGAGCAATAATGATACACAACAGTCTGGTTCATGACATCTGATGACTGTGGTGATGATTCTCACGGTGTCGGATGTGATGTCAGTGTCGTTGTCGTTGTGGTTGTTGTTGTTGTTGTTGCTGCTGCTGCTGCTGCTGCTGCTCTTGCTCTTGCGGTTGCTGCGGCAGCCGCAACAGATGCTGCTGACAGCACGAGGTACGGTGCCAGAATATACTTCATCATCCACTATTTCCTTGCGGACAACAGCGTTGAGATCAACGAAGCCCAGTGCAGAAACTCTGGCCGCGATGCCTATCCAGTGGGGGCCCGAGCTTTGTTAGGGTTTAGGGTTTTGTGGTTTGAGGTTCGGGTTTAGGGGTTTCGGGTTCACGGTGGGGTCGGCGATCTGGAGTAGAAGGAAGCTTAAACGAGGGGCCTGAATACAGGGTTCTTCTAAAGGGTTCATATGGTTCTATAGGAAAGGTTTGTGTAGGGGGTTTTTGCTGCAGGGCTTCACCGTTGGAGTGGCGTGTTGGGGTATATTGTACGATACTTATACCGGGACTTAGAACTACTGTTTATATATCAGCTTGGCTGATTCTTGTAGTACTTCCAGAGGGTGCAGGATTGAAGGAATAGTCCTGGATGTGGGGTTACTTGCCGGGTAAACGCACTGAACCCGCCGGCTCAAGCCATTTTGTGGTCCAGATCCCCTGGTGCGCGCCAGATCTCCTCACGACCTCGCAAGAAAAGATGGCCGTAACCTTGGATGCCAAGACCGCCGGACTGATGCAGTACATGAAGCATCTTGCTTCTCCAATCTCCAACCTTTGAACTTTTTGCTCTTATACTTCGGTATTATCCGTTTTTCGGGGCGAAATATCTATGTACGTATATGCCTAGATATGTATGTATGTTGGTAGGAAGGTACATAGGTACCTAGGTAAGTGTATGTAACACCTGTACAAAGCCCCATGCCACCGTATAGAGCCTCGTGTAAAGCATACTGGTCCTGAAGGTATCCTCCATCCGCTCTGCCGGCCAGCGCCTCTACCTTTGACTGCCTGGGGCTCGATGCTGGTGCCTTTCAGGCCGAAGTGGAACATACGCTTAAGCCCTACCCTGCCCATGACCCAGCGCAAAGCCTCCAACCTGCCTGTAGCCCCAGGCCAAACCGGCTTGGACCCTAGTATCTGATGCGCTAAAACATCGTGAGCGCCGAACCCTAAGCCAGGCAAACAGCAAGAAGCTGGCACAGCGGCGCCTGCAGCCGAAGGTGCGGGTTTGATCGCAACTTCAAAGCTCAAGCTCTGCACCTAAACCCTCCGCTTTAAACACCTGTAAAGCACAACTCTTGTAGCCCCTTCCTGCACCCTTCCTGGCACCCCTTTCAACAACTCTCCAACACGACCTTGGAACGGCCCTTTCTAGAGCCCCAAAGAATGTTCTTATGAACACCCTCGCAACAACCCTGATGGGGCGCACATCTTGCACAACCACCCCTAAAACCAAAATCCCTAAACCCTTAACCTGCCTCGCGTGGTGAGCGCCGAAACCCTTAAACCCTAAATTCATGAACCCCCAAACCCCTAAGCCCCTAAACCCCTAACCCTTCACCCGTAACCCCTAAACCCGTAACCCCTAAACCCCTAACCTCCGAAAGTCCTAAACTACTAATCCCCGACCCCCAAACCACCCCTTGCCCCCCCCACCCCCCGAAGGCGGCCCAGGGCGGCTCCGTGGCGAGCCAGATTCTCTTCGATGCCTTGGCCCTCGATTCGGCAACCTTGCGGTCTTCGAAGGCGCGGATGCCTTGAGTTTCGAGGGTTTTAAGGGTTTTTTATTTCCAGGGTTTCGATGTCTTTTAGTCTTTAGGTTTTTTTGGGCTTTTAGGCTTTAGGGTTGAGGGTTTGAGGTTTAGGTTTAGGGTTACAAGGTTTGGGTTGACCGCACGGCCGAATAAGACTGAGTGCTGGAGTGCCATACCTTACCAATCGTTTTTTCGAACCGGTTCTTTAAAGGAGCCGTTATGACTTAACAGCAACATAGGCAACCGTTCCAACCGCAGCCATCAACAACAACAGTTGTATCACCAGTCCAGAGCAGCAAGAGTAGAACATGAAAGGCTCATAGCCAAGAGTCGTTCTTGCTAACTTGCTAATAGGATTTTTACTGGTGCGAAGAAAAGTAGAAATAGTTACAGTCGTTGTAGGAGTACTTGTTACTGATGATGAAACTGAAAACAGCAAAAACCTATTTCAACGGTAATGTGCGAAATAAAAGCTGACAGCTAACACAAGTATGGTAGTGCTTCTTAAGTCATTAGCCCCGTCAATCAGTTTAAAGTTTGCTGGTCATTCAAGCTCTTCTACGTGACTTTTTGTATTCGACATACGATGCTTCTGTTGTAGGATGTAAGGCAATTTGGGGATTCTGTTTCTTTTGGTGCATGAATCTTAGTGTAACCAGGGTCACCTGACTGTACGAAGACTAACGATAGATCTTCTCACAGGTTATACTTGGCTAAGGTTTTGCATGCTACACAGTTCCTGCCATGTCTCCGGACTATTCAACTCCATAAACCCCACACCCCAAACCGCAGACTTTCAATTGTCGGTGCGTCATACTGAAAGGTGACTGCTCCGCACAAGAAGGCCTCCAACAAGATGTCCTCTTCGCTTTCCACCGGCTCGACCAGCGACGGGTCCGCTGAATCCTGAGCCCGCCTTTGATAAGTGTTTGGCCTAATGTGTATCCGATGACCTACAAACAGCCACAGAACGTGTGTATATACTGCCATGCATATATACGTATATGGGTTTTGGCTTTTTGAGCAGCCTAGCAGGCCTCCTGTGTTTCGGACTGACAACATCAGCAACAGCGGCACCTGAGCACAAGGCGAAAGTCCAAGCTCATGACGACTGTTCCGGGTACAGACATGCATGCTGCAGCAAGGATTCGCACCGAAAGCAGTGCCCATTTTCAGCTACTCTGACATGCCTCAGGCACGGGGCCTTTCTTCCCGAATGAGTTTCTCGCGAATTGCACACATACTATCCTGGGGAATGTCGGAGGCTTGTGCTGTTTGTCGCCCTTCCCCACCGTCTCTGCAGTGCAGGCACCTTTCGTTCCTGCCAATGATGGCACATGTCTTCAAGCACATTGTCGCACAAAACTGCGCATACACACAGAGACAATGAACAAACCCAGAAACAGTGCTTCCCTGTACTTCTGCTGTGTATCCTTACATGTATTGACAACATGTCGGTTCAGAGGCATCGCACGCAACTCGAAACAATCCCACACAGAGTCGAAGGTGGCATAAGCGCACATATCATCCCTCGACCCTAAGCCTCAAAATGCTCTCCCACGTGTGTTTTGTAATTGTCCCTGAGAGAAGACATGTGGAACCAGCTCGGCAAGCACGCATGTGAAGTGGGGTCCTCATTACTGTACGGTCTTGGTGGTTGTACACATGGGCAAGGAGTTTTTGGAGAGTGTATGTTTGGGTTTCCCTTGGAGGATGCAAGTATGTAATGAACGCCCTGCTTCATGTGCAGACCCTGACGGTCAGCTTTGGCCAGTGGTGTGCAAAGGCACTGATGATCGGAGGCAACAAAGCCATCTGGCTTCGAAGTCACTTTTGGTTCATGCTTTCGGCTTAAAATGTCCGGCGACGCAGCGAAAAGCTTGTTTTGGCTAGCAAGTGCATTTCTCTGGCTATGTATCCTAACATCCTAGTCTAGGCTTCAGGGTCTATCGCGGCCGTGTCCCCAAACTGGGGAATGTCGTATTTAACTTACTTAACGGTTGCGCTCACTTTTAGGTCTTGTTCATTTTCTTTTTCCTTCCATGTTGCTCAACGGCTGACACGGTCAACTCCCACTGTTGCACCAGAGGTTAGGGAGGCACCTGATTAAGAAACCCTGGCCCTATAACCCCCAAATAGTAGGATTCATACAAGAAACCCTAATAAAGACCCAGGGTTTCTTAATCAGGTTCCTACACTATTAGTACCCTTATGGATCCCTTAGAACTAGCCTTCTAAACCCCTTTAAAGGAACCCTTAGGCCCAAGGTTTCTTACTCAGGTTCCTACATGAGGGAGGCACATTATGAGGGCCTCATGGCATGGCCCGGGCCGTAATGTCCTGGGTCCTACCCAGGCCTGGGTTGGGGTTTTAGGGTTTTTGGGGGACTTAGTAAGTAGTGTTATAAGTACCTTAATTGCGCTTATAAGTAGTTATAAGTATAGTTACCCTAATTATAACCCTAGTTACTAAGTCCCATGATCCTTTAAGTAGGGTTCAGGGGACCATGGGGTCCGAATGTCACTTGCCGCCCTTCGACTCGGTGCCCGTGCGCTGCGGGCAGAATTCGTGATACTGAGACCTTGGGCATGTTTTCCATTCAGAAGGCGGCTTTTCCGCACGTGTGAACGTGCACAGCATGAGATGCAATCACCGAGGCAGGATGCCATCCAGTGACGGTTGGCTTCCTGCATCGTTCCAGCCACGAGAGTCTTGCGTTGTGACCCTCCTGTGTCGGGTTGTCACCCATCCCACCAGCTGAAAAAGACCGTCAGATGCAGCCTGCCTGAGGGATTACTTTCGAGGCCTTAACAATTACCTATACTCTTTTGGGGGTTGCTTATTATAGTTATAGACCCTATTCTAATCATGAAGGCCCCTATATTAAACTTCTTGTGTGGCTCGGGGATTAAGGCAACTCCTCTGTTGAGGGTTAGGGGATGCGGGTGAATTAAAGCGCAATGTTTTAGGTAGAGGCCTGAAGGGCTCTGGGCTTCAAGGTTTGCGGTTCACGCTGTTGGTGATGCTGGTTCGGGCAGATGACATGGGCCTGCAGCAACCATCACAGCGAGGACGAGCTTTGTTTTGATTTGAAATTGCTATAGGGGCCTCAATAATTGCCAATACTTTAGGGGGTTCCTTATAATCAGTGCAGTATAATGGGCCCAATACTCTACTCTAATTTTTCGGCCCCTTTATATTACATCCCAAATCGTTAAAACCCGAATCGCCAAGCCGCTGGCCCGTTTTGAAACGCAACTCCAATCAGCCTTTTACAAAACGCGTAGTATCGGGGCCTGAATAGTTACCTTTACAATTTTGTGTGCTTCTTAATCTGATTATAGTATAATGTACCCCAATACCCTATGCTAATTTTAAAGGCCCCTATATTGGATCTTGAGCCCTGCCGATCCGTTCCCAAGCCTATCTGACGACCAAGCCAGAAGCTCATTTGTCCGAGTGTGTTCTACGCTTATCCCCTGGCTGAGATGTTCATGAAGAGGGGCCCGCTGTCAAAGAAGAACGAGGTGCTGGCAGTGCCAGGCCATTCATGAGCGCTTTTAGGGGTGCAGTCTTTTCACCGTAATAGATGGCATAGTTTTTTCGGGCAGCATGAAGAATACCGTAATCTTATTTATGCGTTTAACACGCAGGGGATCCGTGAAGTAAGTTAATTACGATGTGCTAACTTAACTTAAAGCAAAGCCTCAGACTGTAAGCACGCGCACGGCCCCCTTAAACCCTAAACCCAAACCACGTACCTCGCCTGGTCCGTCCGAGTGCGAGTACCAAAAACAGAAGCCCTAAACCCTGAAGCCTAAGCCCTACACCCTTAACTATGGAGTTCTAGAGCCACCAGCCTCAGCCCTGAGGGGCCCTGAGCCGAACGCGAAAGATTGCATTCCTGCCGTCTGGAGCTTCAACTAACACTGCAGACGTCTGATTCACAAAATTCCCACCTTAACTAGGTATTGATTCAGGATATTTTTAACTTCACTTATTGTTGAATCTATAACCCTAACCACAAATCAATTCGGGGACTGTTGAAACCGACCCCTAGTTAAAAAGAACCACAGGGACCCCAACGTTAATGCATGTAGATAAAAGAGGTATTCACCAGCGAGCCCAAACCAGCCACGCCCGCCCCCGGCACATCTGACATGTTGCAGTCCAACTGACGGTCAACCACTCACGCACTCCAGACTTGACAGCTCCTGACTTCCGAACGCTAAAGCTTAAAACTGTCTTACTATTCAGACTACGTAACCGGGCCTCGTGTTACATGGACACCTACTGCACAAAATCAGATCCTGCAAGAGTTTGGGAGGCATGCTGGCAGCGGAAGGCCAGATCTACTTCCCTCACGCCCCTCGGGCAGCAAGGTTTGCTTTTTGAGTTGGGGGCCGTGAGTGGGGGACCCTCCTCAGGAGTACAATCGTTTTTTTCCAAGGGGTATTGGCGGTTGGGGTTGAGGTGTCAGCCTTTGAGGTTTGTGGCCTGTTTGCTTCCTCCGAACATCAAACCCTGAATGCTTAGATTTGCAGTTTTCGTAGGATAACAATAGTAAGAACGATATTGAGGTGCGAAGGCCTGGGATGTGTACATTTGCAGCTTGTGAAACCTTGCCACCAAAACCCTAAACCCTGAACCCTAAACCTTCCTGAGTCGTGAGCCTTGAGAGGGAATGTGATGAGTGGTGAATCAACCACGCCTGCCCTCCCTATGGGGATTTCCGATGAGCAAACGGATCTGCTAGTCGAAAAAGGGGCGCTTAAAAAGAACAAACCCTCCTGATCCTGTTCATGCGCACCTTGCTTTCTATAGTTATGGATCCTGAGGGGAGGACGGGTCCTTCCAGACACAGTCAATTTAACGTTTGCCTAGATTTTGCTGGTGCGTGTACTGACTGCTCCTCCTAGTGAAGTTTCACTTAGCAAGACTCCGAACCTACATGCCTCGCCTGGATTGTCCGAGTGTGAGTGCCGAAACCCTCAACCGGTTACTGATGTGAAGTGAACATGCGTATGTTTCCAGTGTTTCACGCCGACCCCGCACCGAGAGCCTCGCCTGGCATGTCCGAGTCGTGAGAGCGTAAACCCCAAACCGGTTCCTTTCCGGACACGAGGACATGATCGTGGGCCACTCTATCGATGTTTGGGGTCGGAAGCTGGTGATCTACGACTGCCGTGGCCCCAAGATATTTGCTCGTTTGGGTTTCGAGTTTAGTGTTTCTCGGCTAAGGGTTTAGTGTTTAAGATGATCGCAGGTCGTCGTCCGGCTAGACTTGAGTCCAGTAGCAGGAAGAAGGTTCTGCTACCCCTCACCCTGAACTTTCAACCCAGCCGTTTTGTGTGCAGGGGGTCCTGGGTCGAAGCCACAAAGTCCAAGGGCTAGACCTGGGAGCTGACTGTGTTTTTACCATACTGTAGGGCTTCCATAGTTAAAACAGGGGCTTTGCGGTAATCACTTTATAACTTTATAACAAAGGGACCCTGGGGAACAGCATTGATAATTAGAGAATGCTGTATGAAGTGTGCAAGCTGGCTCTATGTCGTGGGAGAGTTAATTGGACCTGCGACGCGTTGTCTTTCTTCTCGTTCTGACCATTGGACATAGTAGCGTGCGTCATGGTGCCATAGTATGAAGGCGTGCACAATTTCAGGTGTAGACTGAGTTAAGGGGTATTGGGCTCTCTGGGTATACAATTAAGCACACACCCCTGAAACCCGTAAAGCCTCAGCTGTAGGTGTGATAGCTATCTGGCCGCGTCCAAGTGCGAGGGCGTAAGCTAGAGAGACCGTTAGCGACCCCAGGCCGTATGTATTTCTAGGCCTTACCACCCAAATCATAGGAGGCCCAAAGGGGTTTTAGCCTATGGGGGTTTAGTAGGGATTAGGGTTCCCATAATAGGGTTCATATGAAGGAACCCCTACCCCAAGAATCTTAAACCCCCTTTTTGGCCTCCCATCACTAAAACAACGTAAGCACTTGACGAGGTGACGAGGCCACTCAGAAGTTCTACAAGCAGTACATGGGCATCGACCAATCCCAGGCCAGCACTTTTGTACAGGGCTTGATGAGGTTCTTGTAGGACTTTATAAGGTTCTCACAGGATTACATGGGTTTTTTTGTATGCAGATCTTGTATCCACTTCGGGGCTTGGGTTGATACGGTTTTTGGCGGGCCGTGGTGTTTTCGGGTACTGCTGCTCGAAAAGGTGCGACGATTTCGATATTTTAGGCCGAATGCCGTCAATCCTGACCTCAAAGCGCTAAGCCGTAAAGGGCTTTAATCTATGGTTTGGAGCTTAGGAGACTCTGTCCTTATCGCATCCAACCACTGAAACCCTGAACGATAGCTCCTTCTCCCGTGGCTCATCTACTAGTGGTGCTTGTAGTCTCCCTGCCTCCCCTGAGGCATCCGAGAGCAAGAGAAACCGTAAACCCCATGCCCTAAATCCTAAACCCTAAACCCCAAACCCTACACCCCCAAACCCCTAAACCCTAAACCTTGAACCCCCGTAGAGAAGAAGCTACAAAAAATCTTTGAACCCGCCAACACTTCAAAACCCCAAACTCAACCCGCAAGCCCAATACATGCGCAGGGCCGCATCGACGTCTCCGAGAAGCCCGCAGCTCGCCGAATCTGCGGGGCCTTAGGAAGAGTGTGTTTAAACCTTTCCAAAATTTCCAGTAATTAAGAAATTTGAAATGCTGGGTTTACAGGGGTGGGGGTGTGCAGTAGAGTTTTAAGGTTCTTGTGAGTTTATTAGGGTCCCAGACCTTCCAAAATTAAGGAATTTTACCCTTCATTGCAGTAGAATCCTTCATATGATTGAAGGTTGTATTGCGTAATGAAGGGATATTGGAAGGTCCGGGGTTCGGTGTAGGCTTCAGGGTCTGGGGTTTGCATAGGGTTTACGGCGTTTACGGGCTTGATGTGCCCAAAACCTTGTTCTAGCTGTTGATAACCTCCTGTTCTAGGCATCTTCCATTGCTCACAGCTCTAACGTGGATCACGCTTAGTCCTGGTGTCCCAGAAGTAGCGCAGGAAGTAGCAAGACGGGAAGTCCATGGCCAAGCCTAAAACATAATTTGGGTTGTGGAGGTGCCTTACCTTGCCCTAAACCCTAAACCCGGATTGCAGCGGGAGCTTCTGCAAATGCAAGCCATACGACCCAACTGTAGACTGTAGGGGTGCCGTTTATCTACCCCTGAACGGCAGCGCATGGCATGATCCCAAAAGAGTCGTTTAGGGATTCTAGCCCTACTTGGAAGGGCAGGGGACTTAGTAAGTAGGTTATAAGTAGGGGTATCATTGGGGTAGCTCCATTTAGGGTACTTATAACTCTACTTATAACCTACTTACTAAGTCCCCTGCCAGGGTATCGGATCGAGCTTGGCCTAGCATTGCCGATTCCCCAGTGGGCAAGGACCCACCTTCTTTGCCTAGGACGGCTAAGGCCAGTCCTAGCTGGCATCGCTCCTTGCGTAGGAAACGCCATAAGGCCAGAACACGCGTCCACCGACTACGAGCTCTTGGTGAGCTCCCGTGGACTCGCGACTTGTTACTTCTATCCCGGCACCACTCAGTGCCGAAGTATAAGGAGCTGGCTTCCAGCCCTTCAATGGGCGGAAAAAGATGGCCACAGAACCGCAACACCGAGTACGAAGAGTACTGGCCACAAGACCAAAAGGGGTGGCATGTGTGGCATGGTGCTTATGCAGCCTCGCCATCTTCCTACAAGGCCAAGGGACGAGGACGTGCTTTGAGGTACGACCAAATGGTGGTTCCGGATGGAGGAGCACCGAAGCGGGACTCGCTGGACGAGGACGATGGCGAGAACCTCGGCGGAGTACTTGTCCGCGACGTACAGCGGGCACTGACGACAGCCAAGAAAGCAGATCAACGGGTCAGGAGGATCAAGAAGGACATGCTTACGCGCCGGGAACAGTGGGCGCTTTTCGAGCGCCAAATGAAGCAGGACTTCACGACGCAGAAAAAACAGTTCGCACAAGATCAAGAGCGACTGGAACGGGAGCTGGAAGCGGCAACGACAGCCGGAAAGCAGGCCGCTTCCATGGTACGGGAGTGTGTGGCCAATGGACAGAGGCCATCAACCACGGACGACTCATCCTGGAACGATTTGATCCGGCAGGCACCGGACATGGACATCGAGCCGCATGGATTTTTCGACGAGGCGCTATCGGCCGTCCAGAGTGCGGCAGGCCGCCGGACTCCTGTGATCTCGCCGGATGCACAGTTGGGACAAGCGCTCCGGGCACACCTGCAAGCCACTGGGAGTATGGATGGTTTTGGTCAGCAGTTTGGCCTCCTAGGTCACTCTGGACCACAACCGGTACCGCCTGGCTTCGAGGACAGATCGGGTCCCCCTACTTATGCAGCTCCTCCTCCCACGGACCCCTACATGATGCATCCTGGAGGCGCGCATCCGCCGCAGAGTTATGGCCCTGCAAGCACCAACTGAACTGCGGACCGCCGTTTCTCGCCGCTGCACCCTGGACACCGGCAAGCCGAGCATACGGGCCCATCCATGGAAGCCGACCCAGTCCACAATGCTCCGACTATCGAGCAGAAGTTGGAAATGAAGCGAATGGCAGCCATGGCAGCCAATGCCCAGGTTCTCCCGGGCACAGGACAGGGAGGCTTGTCTTCGGCTTCTTCTGGAACCGCCTTGCGGCCTTTTGGGATGCCTCCCAACATGCCTCCTCCTGCACCCCATGGCCCGCTACCAGCCCAAGTCATGCAGCTCGACGTGGACGATTCAGCGGAGGAACGTGCTCCGGATGGGGGCCTCGGCACACCTGGAGAACTAACCTGAACTGGGGGCCTTGTTTGAAGAGATCACTGTTCGGGGACCAAGTGCCGAGCTTTCTGGTCAGGCCTGACATCGTGAGCTCCTCTTGGAGCTCCCCTGTCTCGTTCCTGGTCGGAAGTGTCTCCTCATTTGAGAACCGGAATGTGATCTTCTTCAGCAACGGGCAGTCTCACACCTGTTTTCCAGTAGCTCCCTGTCTTCCCTGGTGCCTTCCGCTGCATTGCACCTCCCGTGCCGCGTGTTTCCTTCCACAACCGTCTTCCCTCGCCTGCCTTGTTAGGTCGTGGTACCCTTGGGTTTTGGGATTCCGCGATCTAACAGGTGCCTCCTCCTCTGCAAGGCTCGGTCTCCCTTGGCTTTGGGAGTTCTGTGATCTTGCCCCGCCTGGACTTCGACAGCACCTAGCACAGCCTGCTCCTTGCTTTGCTGAGCTCATCGCTTTCTTTGATCAGGGCTTTCCTCTGGCCCATTTCCTTGTGCACTTCCATGTTCTTCTTACTGGGTGTGCAGACAGTTTTGCTCGGCCTTCTGCGCAGCTGAAGCACAGGAGAGGACCTAACAGCTACATCGGTGGTTCTGGGGTAGCGTCCTCCTGTGTTTACAGCCACACACCCTTATGTACCTTGGCTTCCGACCAGCCTCGGCTACCGGATGTTCGCTCGTGTGCGATTTCCCGGCTCATTGGGGTCTTATTTTGGGTGAGAGACTTGTGCTTTCCACCCTCTTTGCATGGGTGCAGTTTTGGATGTATCCGCGTCTCTTCCGAAGGAGGCTCAGCTACGATCATAGGTCCTTTCCATGATCATGCTCCAGCGGATGATACTCCTCTCACAAATGATATAGCGGTGCCTAACAGGTACATCGGTGGCGCTGGGGTACCGACCGCTATCTCACTAAGCGACTTCGATGCCGGTCCGTCTTTGTTCTCTCCATGGGAGAGCCCTCTTCTCACGGGCCTCGACTTTCTTGCCGCGATCCTCCTTCCCCTCTTCAGGGCTTTGGTTGCTGTAAGTGGTCTTGCCCTCTGGGGCCTGTTATGCCGCACTCTCCCAGCAAGAGACTCTCCTCTTAGCTCCTTGTGCCGGCTTCCCACCCGTGGTGTTCCTCCTAGGCTGCTTGTTGCCCCAGCAACGGTTGCTTCGCCAGGCAGGAGCCCCCTCAACTGGTCTCCATGGACTGACTCCAAAGGCAGAACTCATGCCAGAGTTCGGAGCTCCTGTGGTTCACATTGGGTCCGTGTGCTTGCAGCCCTAGTGTTCTGGTCTTTGCCAGTTCAAGTTTGGTGTGCTCCACCAGCCGCTTGGCACGATACCATCGATGCAGCAGAGCGGCGAACAGCGCACAGCCCAGACATTTTGCCAGACCTACCCACTTGCAATCTCTCAGTTGAGCACACAACTCCTGACACAGGAAATTGCTCCGAGGATAATGCTGCAACACGTATTGCAATGGTAACTGCCACGGGCTTCAGAGGTGCCAAGGTACTTCTCCCTTCAGGTCAGCTGCCTGCCGAAGAGCTCCTCACTCAGGAAATCTCCACCCAGCTAGGGGAAACGCTTTTGCCGCAGCCGTACCACCTCGTCCCTACAGTTCCGCAAACTGCCAATGGACATGTGGTCTTTCTGCAAGCCCCTACCTGGCTCCATGCAGCGCAGCGTTGTGTACTGTTGATTGATATGACTGCTTGCGAGGGACCCCGCTTTGCCCTCTACAGTGCGCTTGATATCACCTTTTCTGATCTTGAGACCATTGCCTTAGAGCACCTCAGCACCCCGTGGGATGTTTTTCTGGGACAACATCCGGAGCCGTTGCCGCAAGGGTTCGAAGGCAAAGTTGTAAGCGGCCAGGTTGTCCAGTACCGTCCGGTATTTAGCCGCCCACCAGCATGGCAACCTTGCCTCAGTGACTTTCTTGTTGAAGAAGAGCTGTGGTGGCCGCGACCCTATGTCTTTGGAGATGGCGATCAGCCTACAAGATGGGCCTTTCTTTATGGTAGCTCCCTCAAGCTTGCTGCGCATGATACTGGGTTCGATGAAACGCTTCGCGTCATCATCGCCAACCGCCTCCACCGGCGCCCGGAAAGCCTAACTTACAGTAAAAAAGCTTCGAGGGATTTGGTTGATACTCTTGCCTTTTCAGGACAGGCTGTTCATGGTGTCGTCGCAGTCGTACCAGAACCGGCGCGATCGCCGACAGAGCTGCGCATAGGTGCCTTTTACTTTCTTGATTTGCGACCTATTGGGAGGGACATCGATTTCATATTTACTGGAAAGGGCCCTTTGCATGTAGGCACAGTCCTCCACAAGATAGGGGCTAACCCTCCTGAAGGGTACCATGTCTGGATCCTGAAGCCAAGTGTACAGAATGGCTGCATCTCTTGTGCCGAGAATGGCACCATTGTGGTTGGGTACGTCAGTTCACCAGATGAGACAAGTCGTCCCGAGCCGTCGTCTGCTGATTCTCGCCTGCCCCAGAATGAACCTAGTGGCAATAATACCCCAGACCACAATGACCTCCCAGACACTGCAGACACTGATGTCGAGATCTCGCCGCCTTCAGGACCAGACTCGTCTACATCAGACCCAGTACCATTTGTCCTGCTGATTCCCGACAAGGCCCCCGAGGTACATTGGCTTGACCTTTCTTTCCCGACCTCCGTTGAGAAGGCGCTGGATACGCTTCGCGTCTTTCGTCAGGGCCCTTGGGATGCGTGGTCGGCACACATTGTACCTGTCTTTCCCCAGCCCGATCATGAGTTTGCCACTCTGCTTGCGCTGCCTCCCTGGGCTGAG